CAGCCCCGCCCCGGCAGAACAAGCAGGTGTTGAAAGTAGCGTGCTTTCCCTCGCGCCTACAACATCGAGTGCCGTAGAAAGGGAAGAGGAAGACAAAGCGCACGAACCCCTCTTGTCTGAGGAGCGGGGCAAACAGACCCGTCCCTACCCGAGCTCTCGTCAGCCTGACTCATTCCCAAGCTCCCTGCGTTTCTTTACCATACTGCGTGATCTCTTACTGCTTAGTCCCTCTCCTTCGGAGCTGCTGGCAGTAACATCTTATTATGCTCATGAAAGGCCAGTCAGCAATGTCAGCTTCTTCTTCACTGTTCCTTTGGTTTCAGTTTTCTGCGTGGCCTGCACAGGCTTCAGTTGCATCCACAGCATCACAGCTGCCTCTAACAAATAAATGCACAGAGAACTCATTAGGCACAAGAACTCTAAAATTAAACTCCCTCTATAGTTGAATTCCTAGGAGGCATTTATTTTTTCTGCAAGTGGAACGTTATCTCAATTAGGAACAGCTTCTTGAAGATTTTTGAAGTCAGCAGACAAATTCCCAAAGAAAACTAATGTTCTACATACCACTCAAGCCACTAACAAGTCCTGCATGTCTCAGACCTAAAAGCAGCCATGTTTTCTCCCTCCTGCTCACCAAGTCTTCAAACTAGTCTGTATGGTTTGAAAATTACTTGTTTTTAAAGAATGGGTATAAAAGTGAATGAATCGCTCCCTTTCTATATAATTAAAAGTAACAATACTGCAGGATTCTAACAAGCCAGCTTGCTGATGAAGCTTTCCTGCTTAAAATAACTTAGCAGTAATTTAGCAGAACTTCAAATACTATTGGAAGTTCCTACATGGATGGAGGGGTCGAAGATAGAAGGGGTTGCCCAAGACCACTGTAGTTGTGGGCTGAAAGCAGAACCCTGCTACTACATTTATTTCAGTCTTTGAATGATTAAACTATGAACACCACTAGGGGAACTGATTAGCTCTTTCACTTTTGTTCAGAAATTTACGAATTGCCCAATCTATATTAGCTTTTCAAACGACAGCCTCTCGCTTGTCAAGCTTTATAAAAAAAAAAGAGCTATTGGGAATAGCTGCATTGTAAGTACCATGCAACAGAGTTAAAGAGAAGCAAGGGAGCTTTGTGAAGACATTAGCACTTCCTCATGTGAGAGAACAGGTAGTAAGAAAGTAGAAGGACACAGTGTAATCCTTTCTACTCTCCACCTAGCTTTTATTAAATAGTACATACAAATGTCTTTTGTGCTTCCAGTAGAGAACAATTTTCCTGTTTGTCTCAAAAAAAAAAAACCCTCAAACATTCCAAAACAATAGGACTTAAAAAAAAAATCCAAACCCAAACAGCATTAAATAGCGAGTTTTGTGTAGCTTTATTTCACAAAATTTCCTCTCCTCAAAAGGACATGGAGGTAATGTTCTTTTCATCTATATTAATTAAGCATAGCAAATTAGAAGAGTTTTCTAATTAAGGATTCTACCTGTGGTCTAAAGGGGATGGCAGAGGAGCTCCAGCAGCTCTTGCAGAGGCAGACTGAGGTGCTGTGGTCAGGTTTTTTTTAACTCTCCCCAGCTGCTGAAGGTTTGCTGCCCTCAAGGCACAGCCAGCAGAAGACACTACGCACTTGTGCCTCAGCTACTCTACTGTAAAGTGCCATGTTTCAGCACAAATTGCTGACAAAGAGGAACTAGAGCTACACTACCAGACCTTACAGTGGAATGAGGACAGGAACATGTTCACCTCTGCTGACAGCTATGAGTGAAGAAGCAGAAAAGCTGAGTCCCTGCGCCATTCCAGCAGCAGCCACAGCAGCTCCTTAGAAGCCCAGTTGTGCTGCTGCTTGCCTGGTAATTATTAGTTGTAAAGGTTAAGAACCCAAATGAGAGCTTTTGTCATACAGTCCACAATGGGGTTCCATGGGTAAGTTATTGCAAGTGAAGCCTCTACAGCCAAGCATAGAATAAAAACAGAACATTGTCCAAAAGCTCTTTTTCATTTGAAAAGGAGAAACAAAAAAGCAATTATATAGAATAGAAATCTACAACTTTGACAGAAACACAGTGATCTCAGAGTACCTCTTGGCCACAGAGACCAGCTGGGACAGAAAAGCCCATCATCACTTACATGGGAGGCAGTTCTAAACAGACACCGGGAACAGAACTATGCCTGTACTGCAGACTCCCATTAAAGCCTCTTTCAAGTAAAATAAGCAGTCCTTGCACACTCTAGAAAGCAACACCGTCTTCTCGTGGAAGAGTGCCAGCTTCTCGGTGGGAGCTGTGACATGTGCAGGGAGAAGAGTTCTGCTGAAATGTCTAGTTAATATCTGCTGTACGTGAGTCGTCGAGCACTTATGGAACACGGCAGGAGTGAGTGGTGAGGTTTGGTTTTGGTTTGTTTTAAATTAAATCATGCAACACATGGAAGGTAGGGGCAAATTGTTTCTCCAGGCATCCACCACATTGCCGGCAATGAGATGTGCCACAACAGCAAGGGTTAGCTCTATACAGCTGTTACCTCTAGGTCAATGGCATTTAAAATAGAAAATCTTTCTTACACAGTGTTATGAATAAAATTGCACTTGATTTTGTTAAAAACTCCTATCACTGTAACTTTTCCAAATATTTCCTTTCTGGCATCTTGGTTTTCTTCATTAACAGGAGCTTTTCTCTAAAAACCTCTCATCCAGGCTGGACACATGACATAGAACAGCAGTAAGCCATTATCTACCAGAAAATGGGTCTGTTGTTTCTTCAGTGCTTCTTTCTATCTGTCCCCACCCTCCCCACAAAAAGGTACAGGCAGTTCCCCTTGAAGTGTCAACTGTAACATTGAAATATAAACTCCTCAAACAGACATGAATTTTAGTTTCACAGATTAAATATTTGAAAAGTTACAGAAGGTGCTGGAATAGTACACATTTAAATTGCTTAAAAATCCAAACTTGCAGCAACTTTGTATATTCAAATTTCCAAAAGGTTTATAATGTCCTTGTGAACTCCTTCCACGGCAAGACGGCCTCGTGACAACCAAGCATTAAACTTCCAAGGCTGGGATCAAGAAACTATCAGCAGGATGCACTTGCTCAACCAAGCAACTTTAAAAGAGGCGTCTCCACTTCCAATAGCAAAAAGCTGCTCCTTCATTCCATTTTGGACCTTTCAAAGTGTGTAATCATTCTTTCCTGGAAAATAAAATACTCAGTGTCATCACTTCTCCTGACAGGTTTACGTTATTCAGAAATAAAGTGGCATGCTTTTCACATTCACAACAAATGCCCACCCATCTGCATTGTAAGAGAGCAGTGCAGCTTGCAACACTTCTTTTAGAATACACACTTGTATTCTCAGAAGCTGTATCACAGTTGTCCCCACTATCTTCCCCCTCCTTGCAGCATTTTACCACTGCACCAGCAAGATCAGGGTCCAGTTACAATAAGCCAAGTCTTTAACAGCTGACTCATGACTCCTTTGGCACGTCAAAAGACTAATTTGAACTGAAGATTTGTTTACTGACCTCATCTGAATCCAGTAGAGCTGGAAGAGCACTGCAGTGTGGGAGGAAAAAAAAAAATAGTTAAGATAATTAAAGCACCCACTAAGAGCCTATTAGTGGCAACCATTTTCAAGCTTATGTTCCACCTTAAGCTTTCTAGGGTACAGGAGAGCAATAACAAAGACAGACCTTTCAATTAGATAGAAATTAGAGAGAGACACACAAAAGAGGAAGAGCCCAAGAAGGCTCCTCAATGACCTTCACAGTTTTAATTTTTTTTTTCTAAGCTTCTTGTTACCAACTGAACAATTTCCCTTGGAATAAGCCACTTCACCCACACAGGAACACTTGCTGAACTACACTGAAGACAGTACAACATGGGACCATACCGTAAAACCACGTCCCCGAAATCAGGCAAGTTACACAGGTACCTGCAGCCTTTTCAGCTACAGGAGACCTCATATCTAGTGGGATCTCATCTCTTAATAACTCCAATCATACTTTCAGGAACATAAAACGCTGAACACACTACCTCAAAGCACCCTTTCCTACCTTATACCAGACTAGTCCTTGTTTTCTAAAGGTATCCTACCATTCCTAAAAAAAAGTACTAGAACTGGGAAAACCAAATTCAATTGGAAATTGCACTTTTTCATCCTTTTGAAGCTTCGCTTGATTTTGCGTCTTTAACTTCAAGCAGAGTTTTATAATTAAATCCAGAGCCCCTGTCAAAATAACCTGTTCAGATTTGTGAACATAATTAATCTGTGAGCTTCTGTTTTGCTATGAAAATTTAGAAACCGATACTGACATCTGTAGGATGCAAAAGTTATTAAAAGCAGAATATATGTGGGACTGCCTACATAGCTGACTATTGCCAGGAGACTAAAAATTACTCAACAGACACTGTAAACCACGTTGAGACCTAAGTGACATTATTTAGTGCTTTACATTCAAGATACTCAAAGGACTTTTTGGATCACTAAACAGAAAGAGAGGGTTTGTTTGTTCTCTGTTTCCTGGGTTTAGTTAGTTAAACTCCAGTGAACTGCAAACAAATCAGTCTGTGGTTTCACAGTCAGAGGCAGTGTTCCACAAGTCAGCATGTGTGGCATGAACTCCAAGTCTGATGGATTGCATAAAGCCAAGTGGAAGCAAGCTAAGAAGTTAGAGGCCAGTTACAGGCTGAACTCAGTTTCTGGTCATGTAAATCCAGCACACGAGTTCTAAGGTATTTGTGTTCTTGTGTCCAAGGAACCTGCTTTTATTTCAACTATAAAAATACTTACACATCTGTCACTGACGAAGGAACGTTCTCCTCTACCCACTTCAGGTCATCCTCCTGCTACAAGTACAGAAATTAAATGGAAAAACAAGTCAACTTTCCCAAAATGCTCTCACATGCAAGCCTTTTTCTTCTCAGCCTACTTGACAAAACAATGTATTTATAATGACAGTTTAAAACAAGAACAAAACAAACAACGCACTTTAAACTTGACTTCTGGATTACAGAAAACACATTTCAAGACAAAAAGCAAGGAAAAAAAAAAACAAATCCCACTTATAAGTTACTGTCAACTCTGTAATAGTCTAATGATGACTAGGAAAAGCAGGCCCTTGGGACACTGTTTATTGGCATAATCTAGTTTGGTCTCTCACATAAGAACATTGTCTTTATAAGATGATATAGATGAAAAATTACTATAAAAAGCATATGCTAGATTTTGCAATGGTAAGTTAAACTGTATTGCCAGGATTTTTCATTTCTATCTGATGAACACTCTCTAATTCATGACACAAGCACACTTCAAGTTGGAGAATTGACCCTTAGTGATCTGTCCCATCTCCAAAATGGTAAAATTTGATTTTCATATGATCCCCAGATAAGTAGCATACTGTTGCAACCAACCTCTGAAAAAAACAACATCAACAATAAAAATATTACTGAAATTACTATTAATGCCTGCAGGTTCTTTCCAATTCTAAATTTATGTATGAATTCCATTAAAAGATTCTGAGGCTTATTTTCTACCTCCTGGCTGAATGTGAAATCATCTCTCTTTATAAGCCATATGGAAAAAATGCAGATATATTAAAAATGTTCCACCCAAACTATTTAGGTAGCTACATAATACACACATCACCCCTTTCAAGTAATGAATCACAGATCTCAAAATAAGATGGCAATTAATTTACTTAAGATATGGCTCAGCCTCCCTCTCAGCCTGACAAACTTGTTAAAATAATGTATTATTCACTATCAGAATATAGCATCATACAGTTCTATCCATACAGCACAGCATCCTTAAAGGACAGACTGAATTCTGAAGCTTCCGTTACGCTTCCAGGACATGAGATGAAAAATCTGCATTTACTTTCTTTTCAGGAGGATCACCAACATATGATACTTTTATTCACTCCCACTCTGAAGCAAATCAGGAAATTCACATTTATAGGCTGAATACTTTGTATACTTGTGAGCTACTACTGGGGTTAACCAAAGAAGAGGGATGGACCTATATCCTTCCACACAGGGAGTCCATACTCACAGCTTTGTTTGCTTTGACATTCCCATTTGGTTCTTGCTTTGTACTTCTCATTTTCATTCCTTCTGCAGACAAAAGAAGGAAAAAAGATGGAGATAATTGAACTATAATTGTTTATCAACTGTAAATTGAGTGTTCATTCAGAATATTTAATCAGATCCAAAGAGAAAGAGCGAGACAGAGAAGGTAATGATTCAGACAATGCTTTCCCTTTGAAAGGTTTGCAGGATTTTTCCTGACAGGAGGAGTATCTAGTTACTCCTGAATTTTGCAACTTCACCTAAGAAATACCAATCTCAAGTCCTTTTATTAAAGCCAGACATCAGCAGCACAGAACTCAAAGCCATGGTTGTCCAGAGGGCTGCAGAGAATCTCCATCCCTGGAGATATTCAAAAGTCGTCTGGACACGGTCCTGGGCAACATGTTCTAGGTGACCCTGCTCGAGCAGGAGGTTTGGATAGGACAACCTCCAGAGATATCTTACAACCTCGACCATTCTGAGACACCTGCAACTCCCAACATTTATTTTACCTACTGACTGCTGACCAGCCACTCCGCTGACATAAAATCTGAGAGGCAACATGCATCTCCCAACCTAGCAGACAGATGTAGCTGATTTGGCAAATGCACCCAAGGGATTGCAGACTCTTCCTCAGCTCCCAACCTAGTCACACAGTGCCAACACATCCCAGCAGAACTGATTTGTGGACAGAGAGCAGCACTGGTTGTGTCACCCTACCTTTTACACAGCTTACAAGCAGCAGTGTTACAATACACAGAGTAATGAGATGGGAAGCAGGGGAGAGAGACAGTTTTGTAGTAGGAGGGGGATGAGTGGAGAGAAAGATGCAACCTAGTGTTACAGAGCAGGACTCTTTCACTCATATGTAATTTCATTAATATGTAAATATAGTCATCCATACATATACACTGGACATCCCAGTACCAGGCCCTAACATGGAAAATGAAACCTCCTGCAGAGTTCAGAGAACAGATAATAACTGAAAAACCTTAAAGTGGGTTTTAAAAGAGAACTGCAAACTAAACCACTGCCAGGCAATACTATCTGAGAGATCCTTGTCATCAGAACTGGATCCAAACCTGACTCAATATATTTAATAAAACCAGAGACCAGTCAACATGGTAAACAACCACAATAGAACTGAAACCCTCAGAATCAAACAGGCAATGTAAACACTAAACACAAAGCCAAGGTTTCCTCTAAAAATGCATAAAAATCAACAGCAACAGGGAGGCACTGACTGCTTTTATAGCAGCAATGAACTTTTTGCCAGCAAACAAGAGACCTTCCTCCACAGAACTGTCTCTTCAACACTGAAATCAGGTGGGGGGAAAAAATAAAATTATCTCACCAAAGCTTTCCTTTAACATTGGCTCTTTCTGCTCATCATCATCATCCTCTTCAGATAGTGGTGAGAAAGCAAACCTGTAGGAAGGAAAGAATGAAAGCTACCTTAGAATAATCTCTCTTGTCACCCAAGAGCTTCATTACCCCAGCGTTCACATGACTTGATTATTCTGTCTAGTTCTTAGTTTTTAAGACCTATGCTAAACTACATAATCAAAAGTGTAAGTCACTTCATTTTAAATAAGTTCAGCACCAAGAACAGATTGAATTTTACCTATGGGACTTCCTTACACTTACTCTAAATGCACACGCTGCTTAATACCCTTATGGATCAGCATACAGACACTAAAATCACCTTCATACTTCTCTGGATAAACAAGTATTCCCAAACCCCAGCATTTTTAGGAAGAGGTAAAAAAGGCTGAACCTTTGGTTGTTAGCAGATGGTCTCCACAGAACCATGATGACAAAAAGGATCATTGAGAACAATAAACGCCAGATGGCATCATCTACCCACAGCTCCTGCCAGTCCTGTCAAGAACAGCAGCACAAAGAGAAAGTTGTGTATGAGGAGACTCCACAGCCTCAGCTCTTTGCAAGGGTGAACTACAGGCATCTGACAAAGAGACTCATTAAACACAGTGAGAATTTTAGCATGTTTAACTGTTTAGAATTTAGCACTCTAGGCATAATCCAGAGAAAAAGCCCGTTCCAGAATGCCCTATCTCATTTCTTACACTGCCAAACAAACTCATCAAGAGACAACAACTGCAGAAAACATTCAAAAATAAACTCACCGACTGACAGTCCACCAGCCTGAACTTCATGGTGGTCCAGATGATAAATACAATAGATGCTGCAATATTAAAAGAAACAAGCTGCTTATTACTACAAAATATGCTAATCCAAATACACTACTAACAGGACTCTGTTTTCCAAACAAAGGGCAAGGATCTAAATAGTGAATCCTTGGAATCCAATTTATCAGTGTTTAAAAACAACAGCTTGATTTATTGCACTGACCTCACCTGGTCATTTAGGCACAGACCAATATATTTTGCTCTTGGTTCTTCAGAGACACAAGGCATAAATCAAACAGGAAGTATCTAGCCAACTCCTCATCCCTGTTCACTATTCTTGTATTACTTTCACCTAAAAGCCTCCAAACCATGGCTTCATTACCCGTTGACACACAAACCCTACCCTGAAGTAACTGCACCATCCCATCTGCCTCAATGCCTAAGCACTCACATCTGGACCCACAGGAGTTCCAGTGTTCAAACTGTGCTCTCACCACAGCTTTAGAAGATGAAATTTCTCTTCTCTAAGGTGTTCTAAGATGACTAAGAACAAGAAGCTATGAGGAATTTAATCAGAGCTGTTGATTAATCAAGGAATGTGCTTTTTACTTAAACAGAAAAAGCAGCCCTCAGATGTTCTCTGCTCCTTGTACGGATAGCGCTTCCAAACAGGAGAGGAGCTGAGCACCTGGATCCACCAACAGACTTATTCTTGAAGTTCACTTCATCACTACTACAAATGGAAAGAGAAACTAAATCTCTACTCTTCCAGAACAGAGAGGGGTTTACATTGCAATACTAAGAATACTGTTTTCCCAGTATCGCTCTGGCCTTCAGACATCTCAAAATCCCACAGTACTCAGTGAGACTGATTTCAGCAAAAACTCAACCAAGTCAACAGCATAATTATCTTTTGTCCCTGCCAGGTTTAAGAGGAACAGAAGTGCTCTGTTAGAGCTGCTGCATAGAACTACTGATCTTGCTAACATCAGGACTAACCACTGCCTCTGAAATATCAACATAATGCTCAGCATAGACCTACTGCTAGAAATGGTTCATGTTAGAAATATCAAATACATTGATTGCATTTACAGAAAGGTCACCAAACTCAAACACCTGCTTTAGTGATCAAATCAAGCCATATATGGCAACAGCAGGTGCTCTGGTTTGATTAATGTAATTTTCTGCTTACCTGCTACTGCCAAGATGAGCGTGTTGGTGAAGTGCCGATACAACGAGAGCTTCACAACGTTCCTTCGAAGTTTGAGCAGTTTCATTGTTTGAGTTAAGCTGATGAATATGTATGGGAAGTCAAGGAAAGACTCTGAAGGGACAAGCTGCTCACAGACTTAGGAGGACACAGCTCTTATAGTCAACTGCTCTCCCACCCACACACTTAGCCTTCCAGAAAGGTAGGCCAGACCCAGGGGAAGAAAAATTAATTGTATATCAAAGGTACCAAAGAACAGGATCCATCCCTTTCATGTTTCTTAGCCCTCTACACCTAGAACTCATCACACAAAGATGGTATCCAAGCATCTAATTTGGACTATGGCCCATTTCTCCAGAAAAGTGTCAGATGTGATTCTGATAAATGGAAAATCAAGGCTGAACTAGAAGCAAGTTAACATGTAGTCAGTGCATACAAGGTGTCTTCACCCTTTTGCCTACAATTTTATTTCTGTAGTGACAAAACAAATGCTTAGGAGAGACATCGTGGTAGGAGAGAATTTGGGTTGTCAGGGCTGAGTAGCAAGCTATTAACATTTTATAGAGAGTTTTGTGACTGACTTTGATTAAAACACTTCATAGGGCTTTTGCTATACATGGCTTTAAGTTCAGCATTTGCCAGCAGTTGCCTAAGTAATGCAAGATTATGGTTGTTTGGATGTAGTATCAAGACACCAAAAAGTTAACACTGCTCCATTTTGCACCTACTTCAAGATGAGCTCAAATTTTACAGGAAGAATTTTAGGTTTGATGTTGTTAAACAACCTTCTCCCCAAAACATAAATTGAGTCTGTTCTCCAAAGACTTAACTAGCCTACATTCAGGAGCTGCTCTTACACAGTTATCTACTGGTTACCTGATTTTCCTTGCAGTGGCTGTAACAAAAGCTCACCTGAACACTCAATTACAGAGGTTCTATTACCTTCACCACAAGTAGAAAGAACATATACTTGAAGCTGATTTAAAAAACCAGAACAGTTCAGCCAAAAGGACTCCCAAAATAATCACATGTGAAAGAAAACACACCCCAACAAGTAAAATAGTGAAGGATATCCACCAGCACAGGGCAGTATCCAGGAAAGCCAGGGGAATAAAAGCCAAGGAGGCAAGATCATTCTGGGCCTGGAGACAAAGAGAGAGCCAATAAGCACAAACTGAAAAGGAAACAAGGCACAGAAGAAGTGAAGAGGGTCAGGCCATTTAATGAGAAGACACAAATACTTCACCACAATGCTTCTGAGTTTTACTGCAGAAGCAGAAGGTTTGAACAAAGGGTTCAGCCCAATGCACAGAGGGGAACTGACAACACAACAATGTAGGTCCTCAGTTCTCCACCAGCAAGTGGAGAAGCAGTTTAAGTCAATCTGGCACATTAAAAGGAGCTGTAACAATGTAAATTGCTGTAACAATGTGCTCTGGCCACTTCCACTACAGAAAACTAACAATCTGTTAGAGATGCAGTTAAATCTTTTACACTACCCATGGACAAACTGAATGCTCCACTGGCAACTGTAAGTTTGACTAAAAGTACCAAAAATTGCCTTTGTGTGTACATCAAAATATTCAAGTCCCAACTGAAACAAGCAAATCACCTTTTATTCCTTTTAAATGTAGGAGAGAAATAATAAGCTGTAAAGAAGCTTGTAACATTCTGCAGTTTATGAAAGGATATCCACAAAATAATACAGGCATCAATCAAGGAGAGGGCCAAGTTTGCTATCAGAGCCACTGTGTCATAGAAAAACTGCAAAGTACCAAATATATGACATGTTAAATATCTTATCCCAAAATACCAAAAACAGAACAACAGAAATCTACATCCCGAGATCCACTTCTTAATGAAGGAAGTAGCAGCACCACTGACATGCACTTCCACAGGTATAACCTCCAAAGCTGGGAGTGGTGGTGGTTTGTTTTGGTTCAGATTTTTTTTTGCATGTTTGGAGGTTTTTTTTGCTTTTTTTAAGGTTTGGGTTTTGTTGGGATTTTTTTTAGACTCATGTCCAGCTGACTCAAGCTGTTTGTATCTGCAGCTAGCCCTACTTAATCCAAAGTATTGAGATACAAGGGTCCAGGCAGAATATAGTGTCTGAAACCTGACTAATCAGAGGACTCTAAGAATTATTTCAAAATACATAGAATTATACAGAGAGAAGCCATCAAACTTAAAATAACTGTCAATAATCCACATCCACACTCTCTGAGTTTAACCACTTCCCTCTCTCCGTTCCATTCTTTTGGGATAGCCCTGGGATTCTCCCTTAGCATGTAAATAAACAAAGCCAGTAGAATCTGTGGCATATGGGAAAATTAAAGCAATTACTAACCCCTGTGACTCTAAGAACACCTTCCATGCCAGAAAATAATAGATAAAGGGCTCCAGCCATAACTACTTTGTGAAGAGTAACTCCAAGGCGAGGCCTGTAGAAAAAAAAAGTGAAATTTAGATTAAGTGGGGGAGAAAAAAAAAAAATAATCAACTTGAGTCTAACATAAAGCATGAAGCATGTCAATAAAAGGTCCCTGTGACAAGCTACCTCTGGATCCAGAAATAATTTTATTCTGGTGCTCAAAGCTTACCATTCATTTTGTCTTATAGTATGATCTGACTAAGGAAGAGACTGCTAACAGACCTGTTTCCTACTTAACCCATTTAACTTTTTCCAACCATTTCAAGAAATCTCAGCCCACCTCTTTTTTACCAGTTCCCCCCAGCACACCCACTTGGTAGAAGCTTGACTACCACACAGCTTTTTGTTTTACCATGGAATACAGCTGGGCACAGACAGATGAGCAGCGGCCTTGGCAGCGGAAGCCTCTTTGGCAGCAGATCCCCTCCCCTGTCAGTGATTCTGGACCTCCCCCATTCCTACAAGTTCCTCCTTGCCCAGAGGAAGGCATGTAATGCTCACATTCCACTCAGGGGAGTATCTCAACAGTGGGTCAGAAACCCATCCAAGAGTGGTACATGGAAAGGGGTAGGAAGAAAAGTAAATCACCACATGGAATGGTGTCTGTGGACTAGTGAGGAACTCTAGACCTTTACAACACTTAACTAAAGCAGTCACCTTTCTAGGTAGCAAAGTAGGGGGAGATTAACACTGCCCCAAGTAATTAAAAAACAACAGGGAAAATCTTTTTAATAGAACACCACAAGCCTGTAAAAGAATTACTCACTTGACTATCCCATATCCCAGGCTGACTATGATGACCAAAGTTCGAGCCAACGAGCGCTTCACAGCAGAAAGCAGTTCTGCCAGTATTACTGCTCCCTGAACTACCAAAACCAAAGAAGAGGAAGGCAGGTTATTAAAATATAATTTGTTTTATTTACTGCATGCAATTGTGGTATGAAGCAGACAATTATTTTTTACAAGGGCTTGTAGAGACAGGACAAGGAGTAGTGGGTTCAAACTGAAAGAGGGGAGATTTAGTGAAAAACCTCTTCCTAATTTCTCATCTATCAGGGTGGTAAGACACTGGAATGGGTTGCCCAGTGAAGCTGTGGATGCTCCACCATTGGATGTGTTCAAATCCAGGCTTGAGGGGGCTTTGAGCAACTTGGTCTAGTGGGAGATGTCCCTGCCCGTGGCAGGGAGGACGTTGGAACTATATGATCTTTAAGGTCCCTTCCAACCCAAACCATTATTAATTGTACAATATTGTTATTACCTACATCTGGACTAGGCTTTCAGAAAAGATAGGTTGATGGATGATTTTCCAAACAAGTCAACCAACAAAACCTGCTGTATCAGGTGTGTGACTAATTAACAAAGTCATAATAGAATCTTTCTTGCAGAGTTTCATTTGTATGCATTCATCCTAACTCAAAACCAAAGTCCCAAAGTTTTATGTGGCGAGAATTGTTTAAGATGGATCCTCAGGCTATGGGCTGAATGCCAAAAGTCATCTGCAATGCTGTCATTTTATCTTTATTTACAGCATTTTAGCTTTAGAAGAACACAGATCATCCTATTCACAATATATTAAAAAAATGCAGAAACTCTGGTTATATGTTGTTTTGAAACAATCCTCAAGTAATCCTATACTTAATATGCATCTGTCACCCCAATTTAGTATAATCCATGAGTGCTATGCCCCAGCAATCAAAGTGCAAGCTGCAGTTGCTACCTACCGGATTCCCCCGTGTAGCGGATGTTCTGGAACTCTGCGTAGAAAACTGCCTTCTCCAGCATTCCCAGGAAGATAACAGCTCCAATCCAGAACTGGATCCTCAGGAGGTCTCGCCAGTAGCAGGCTGACCACGCCAGCCACAGAACCCCGAAGAATACGTACACGATACACATCACCATGAAAAACTATTGCACGAAAAGAAGCAAGAAATAGGAACCTCAGACCCAGAAAAATCATTTCCGTGCTTTATTCCACAGCTGCAAGACAACTCTATCTTCTTCCTGAGTATAGCAGCTACTGAAGTTGTGTATAAAAAGTGCCTCGAAAGAACCATTGCTTCATTTATCTCCTCTAGATTCTTTTACAATGACAGCCTAATTTCTCACTGCTGACAAATGGAATCAGAGTAATCGGATTTCTGAGCAATTTCTCTCTCAAAGAGGAGTCTGACAATTTATTCATGGCCAGTTATGCTAAGGAAAATATCTCCTAGCTTTCAAAACTCAGAAAAGAGCTCAAGCAAATCATCAAGTACTATAAACACAGCCACTTCTCATGTATTTTTCTATTACTAACTTCATCAAACATTTACAGTGCTCTGCAAATAAACTTACAAGTCACCTTTACACACAATTCCACCCAACAGAGACACGCAACTGATGGTTGTAATGCCTCTGTTCAAGTAATTCGACAGCTTCCCTCAAAAATTAATTCCCAGCAAACTCAGTTTTTGACCAAGCTTTAGGTCAGCCAAAAATATGGAACTGAAAAAGAAACCCAGATATTCATTTAAATCTTATCATTTTGTGATTTATTTTTTTCTTTTAGTCCAGAAAAAAGAACTTGCTTCAGAACTTTCAGAAGTTCTTCTGAAGTTTCAGAAGACAGGTACCTGTCTTCTATGTCAAACAATAAGCCAGACAATGCTACTCAGTGTGAATTTTCTAAATGGCAGCACTATACCAGAGCAAGTTAGGTTTTCAAAGAGGACACAGAGATTAACAAAAGGGATAAGAAGGAGAAATAAGACATTAAACGAATAGCAGGAAGCACTTAGTCAAAGTACAGTACAGTAATAATCAAGTAGTCTCCTCTTACTGAAGGTAATTTTTTTGAAACCAAGCAAACTTTGAAGTTACCCTCACAATCCATTGCAACTTTCATAAACTGAAAACACCTTCCTTCAGAGAACATCTTACTGGTCCTTACAGATTTTCACTTGTGACTAACCCACACAGTTCCAATGGTAAGGACCTAGGCACGCTAGTTCACATTCAGAAACGTCCAGAGGCCTTTTTTGGGACCACATGGGACTATTAACACTACTGAACTGCATGTCAATACTGCTGCTGGAGGCTTTTTACTCCTGCAGGAAGTAAAGCATGTTTCAGAAATGCCATCAGGCTCTCTTTCCTATTTGCAGGCCACTCCTGCCAATAGTCAGGCTAGAAACCTTTCTTGTTATTGATCCCCAGCTAAAGTGTGTCTACGCTACATAAATATTTAACTTCTTTTATTTTCTTAGCTCCCTCCACAGAGGGCAACTAGCAACTAAGTCAACAACCCCTTTGAAGAAAAATGGGATTAGCTCTTTGTAGTTCAGCTGTGATTTCACTGTTAGGCAGCATTAAGGACCTCCTCCTGGGGTGTAAGACAGCTTATGGAGGAAGGAAGATTAAGCTGCAAAAGAACAAAGCAAGCAGTGACAAATGAAAGGGTAGCTGTAAACAAAAGCACAGAGGAACAGCAAATTTTCTAATTTTCTAAAGCTAAGGAGAAAAACAGCATCAACGAAACTGCTTAGTTTGGAGCTAACACTATTGACAACTTCCAGAACTACAAACTGACAAGCATTAATTCAGACAATCCCAAGAACAACGTTAGTGGCATATGCAAGTGTCTGAAGTTTGTGTTTGTTTTCCCTATCATGTAGTCCAAAAAAAAATAAAATAAAATTTAGCAGAGGGTGGAGGTTTGGTTTGTCTTCTTTTTTTTGAGACTGGCTTTGTGTTTCCTAAAGCATGGAAGGAGTGCATTTATTGAGATTCAAATCAACTGACAGCTTTATAGGTCAAAGAAAGGCTATTTTACTTACAATCATCAGAGGATAGTCTGCAAGTGAGAGATACTCATATGGCCCCTTCAGTTCGATCGTCACTGTCAAAAGACAATCCAATAACCAAATTGAAGAACCACCAAAGGGAGGAAGACAGGATAAAGTACTTAGCTGATTTTTTACTCAAGCATAAAGAAATTCCAAATCTTCACATGGCTTTTAAATCTATCTAGCACTTTAATCAGAGAAAGTTAGGACTCTTGACACTCAGGTAAAAGCATGCAATTGAAATTACACACTCCATTACCAAGCAACTCATGGCAGTACTTAGGGTAATTTGTGCTGGAGATTCATGTGTAACAGGAAAGTTCAGAAACATATATTAACTTTTTAAGGGGATTTTCAAACTTCTTTGAAGTTTGAATAGGTTATCAAGGCACTGTTAGATATACTATACCATAATTTCAAGATGACAATTATGATCTTTGTATTCATGATGATCTGAGCTTATTACTATAAATCACTGTGTTGGTCTGGACATTTTGGAAACAAAATGCCAAGCCTCAAAATTGACCTGTTTGGAATTCTTCTTTACTTCCACCACTAAACTGACAGACCAAAAGCCTTAGGATCTTCAAGATGCTAACAACCACCTATTTTCTTATGATAAAAAAGAACAATAGTAGGCAACACTTAAATCTGTGTGAAGTCAAACAGTGTCTCATGAAACTGAACCATAGAGTATATATTAAAAGTACCTTAGAATACATTCAGGCTGGTATACATAAAAAAAGGCATTATATTTTCAGTTTACTGTATAAACAGCAATCTTACTTGTAATGGGTTTATTCTGATGTGAGGAAGGTGGCTCTTTCTCTGTTCTTTTGACTCTGGTGGTAGAATCCTTTGTTCCAATGTACATAATAAAAATATATGGCCCATCTCGCCAAGTTTTGGCAACAGCATTCATTACCTGAAAGTAAGATGCCCACATGGAGACAGCACAGAGTCAAGGGCACACAAAAAAAAGACAGAAGTAGACTCACCATACATGGGTGATATCTCACATGTAAAAAATAAAGCTGACCTCTTTCTAGGCCTAAAACTTGTTAAGAAATATTTGATATGTAAATTTTAAATCTATTAGACATAGCACAGAGAGTTTAGTTTTTGAATCCAGATGAATCCTTAAAGACCTGGGAGGTGATCAGGGCTTATTTACAAATTTAATACTGGATTACTGCAAGAGTCATCTCAAATACATGGCAAAAGCTACAAAGAATTCAGCAAAATGCCTTGTTCCTTGTTTTCAGCCTAGAAATAGTAGGACCATCACAGAAATACTTCTTCCCTCCAGCAGTCAATAGTTTGGCAAAGCACAACTACATATAACTCAGCTCCCTGATGAAGGCTGAATTTTACAGTGTAACATCAAAGAGGTAGCTGAAAAGTAAAAAAATTCCATAGTAATAATTTCCTGGGGGAACTACTACTGCCCCTGCAACAGCTCTCATAGCTATACGACTCAAGCCCTGCCAAGGAACTAACAGAGGAAGCCTGTGTAGATAAATATTTGTACCATAAAACAAATCAGAGATTTGAGTTCCAGCATATAGAACTGTTAATTCCACAGCTGAAGAAGTTCTAACTATCTCAGAAACTGCAACGTTTAGTAAGAGCTTTAAGGTAAAGCTAAGACTATCCACATGTCTGCCACTTACACAACCAGTGCAGAACTACCAGAAAGGCTCTCTTTGAAACAGCCTCTCCAAGAGAATTTCCATATTAAGAACATGCATTTCTTTTAAGAAACCTCCAAACTACAAGACCTAAAAAGCCAACAGATTTTTAGGTATCAAAAAAAAATTCTATGCTGATACTTAAATTAGAAGACTTAGTTAAAAAAACAGTAAACTTAAAAGAAAATGGATATTTTTTTATATACTGATGTCCCTTTAAATATCTCCATCTCTTGCTACATTGACTCCTTATTGCACACATAGCTATTTATGTTGTAACATTTAAGGTAAATAGCCCTGTAAGTACACAGGCAGTTAAACACAGTTTCTTAGCTGGCATCCACGACATGCAATTCAAAGTTATTTTGACAATAATTCCTGGATAAGGCTTGAATATATAATAAAACAGATTTGAGAAATCAGAAGTAATCACTCATTAGGTACCATGTTTTAAAAGACTGACTGGTCAAAAGATGAAAACAAATGTAATCTCTGAGTATTAATCACCACTTAGAACAGATCATATCAATGATTACTTCAAATTAGTATGAAAAAAACCTTATTTTTACAATTATACCATGAGTTTGAAAGGTATGAGTTATATATTTCACATACATAAGCAGCAGTTACTCTTTCTGTTACTGTTTTCTGTTTTTCCATGAAGTGCTACTTAGAATCAAGGTAAAAAACAAAAATCCAGGTGCCAAAAACACCAGAGGATTTGCACCATCCCTGTAAATGCTACCAGTAATCTCTTATACAAAGAAACAGATTGAAAAGCCAACTAAACCAAAACCAAATTAAGGACACTGTGTTACAAGCCTTGTTTAAATTCAATATACATACAGTTTTATCTGCCACCATTGTGAGATTTCCCCCACTCTCCTTCTTCTCTTTTAAGCCCTTAAAGAAAAACAGAAAAATGGATAAATCAATATGCCATGACTGCCTCTTCCATGCCTACACCCCATCATTAGAAAGAAACAAAGATAAATTTACCTCTTGCTTCTCAACTGAGAGAGGCTCTGGATGAACAAATTCTTTATAGAAAATCTGCAGGAGATAAGGAAGGTACAGCTTTTACAGACATTTTTTATTAACATGACATTACCAGAACATCTTCCAGTAAACTTGATTCTAAGGAAGGATTCTCTAAACCACTGTGTTACAGAGCTTTCATTTTCCTAAATCAAACAACTGTCCATTTACTTAGATTAACATTTTGTCATTTGAGACTTGGCTTTTTCTCCCCTCAGACAGCAAGTGTCTATTTTTAGAACTGGACCCACATACATAAGAGTAGTTTAACTTTATTTTCCAAAGATTAATTTGTCGATTATCTCCATTACTAGGTGAAGTCTACACAGAGAGAAACAGGATGTGGAGATTTCTGCCTTAGTCTATGCAAAAATAAAGTCCCTAGACAAATGGAACCCACAAGACCTCTTCTGTAAAACCAAGTAAAAGTAGAACAGATACTTCTCACATTAAATATAAAAAGCAGACAGCACACAGATTTTTTTTTTGTTTTAAATACACCTTTCAAGACTTCTTCACATATCAAAGGAACCAGAGGCATGCAAACAGATTATTGAAAACCCTTTTCAAGTCACCTTTAGGCATGTCTTTTGTTCTTAAAGAAAAAAAAAAAAAAAAAAAACACCTCCACAACACTGAGCTCCACAGTTATGAGACATTTTCCAGTCTTCTCTACCTACAGCCCTTTGAACCGGGAATGGGTGAATACAGATTCAACGTGCACAAATTGCCTTGAATTCTTCAGCAATCACATCACAGACAGTGTGTGAAACTGACACTGTCACCTGCATGATGGCACAACTTCTCCTGGTGATGCACAGCTGGCACACTGGTTGCCCATGGCCCCCCTGTGCTGTTCTGCAGTGTCTTCTTGCTTCCACTTACTTGTTTCAAACATGTTTTAGTGTCCTGGGCTGCATCAAAAGCAGTGTGGCCAGCAGATGGAGAGAGGGGATCCTGCCCCTCTGCTCTGCTCTGGTGAGACCTGGAGTGCTGGGTCCAGCTCAGGAGCCCTCAACACAGGAGGGACATGGACCTGTTGGAGCAGGTCCAGAGGGCCACAGAAATAATCAGAGAGCAGGAGAACCTCAGTGCTGGGTCCAGCTTGGGAGCCCTCAACACAGGAGGGACATGGACCTGTTGGAGCAGGTCCAGAGGGCCACAGAAATAATCAGAGAGCAGGAGAACCTCTCCTACAAGGACAGGCTAAGATAGCTGGGGTTGTTCAGCCTGGAGAAGAGAAGGCTCTGTGGGGACCTTTTGGCAGCCTTCCAGTACCTGAAGGTGGTCTACAGGAAAGCTGGAGAGGGACTGTTTACAAGGGCATGTAGCAACAGGATGAGGGGCAATGGTTTTAAACTAAAGGAGGGGAGATTTAGATTAGATGTTGGGAAGAAGTTCTTTACAATGAGGGTGGTGAAACACAGGAACAGGCTGCCCAGAGAGGTGGTGGAGGCCCCATCCCTGGAGACATTCAAGGTCAGGCTTGATGGGGCTCTGAGCAACCTGCTCTAGTTGGGGGTGTCCCTGCTCACTGCAGGGGGGTGGACTAGATGACCTTTAGAGGGCCATTCCAACTAAAAGCATTCTATGGTTCCATGATACTTATTTTTCTTTTCTGACCTGCTATCAGTGCTTAAGTAACCCATTTCTCAACACTCTTTCCATTATAACTTAACGTTATCTGAGCAAAACACACCAGTCCTTTATCAACTCAAATTTATTAGGAGTGTCACTCTCCTACCAGGCATTCACCCTTCTACTCAACTAGCTGTAGCCTTTCCTAAATGAGACAAATTCAGAACAAGGAACCACAAACAAAAAAGAAGCACTGAACTTTCCAGTGGTTTGGGTTTTTTTTTCCCCTCTCATGGTGGGCCAGATGTTGAATAGCAAGCCAGAAGTAAAGCAAAATTAAGGATTAAACAATTAAATTAATAATTGCAGTTTGGTTGTCATAAACAGATAAAAACAAGTACTTCCCAACCTAGATACTTATACAGGATGGCAGCACATCTAACAGAAACTACCATCTTCCTGTATATTGTAGGACAGAACAGACCAAACTGTGCAGTTTGTACTCTTACCTGAGGCCTAAACAGCACAGAGCAATTTGGAAAGATAAGAGAAGACATGGCATAGTATCCTGACCAACCCTGATGCTCTTCAGACGTAGCCCCAAAATAATATTCTGCCTGTTCATCCTGCCAAACAAGAAATAGAACTTAGGTTAGCATCCAATACATCAAATTGTTTATCTCAGTAGGAAATCCCAATATTCCTGCAGTGGAGATGCAGCAACCAGCATAAACTGCAGCCCAAATCAACAAACTCTGCATCGTTAGACTAAAGATCTCAGTACCATTAGTTCAGTAATTACAACTGCCATAATTACTATTTTCAGTAAATATGGAAAAAGTATTAACAGTATGAACTCCAGTTGTGTTCCACCACATCTGATAGAGGCACTAAACATTCTGTTATAACGTACATCCACAAAGAATTTAGACTAAAAATTGATTTTTTTTTCCATTTGATAGCGTTAAGCATTACAAATAATATTTTTTATCTACCACAAACTCACACACTTCAGTTTAGAGTCAATGCATTTATTTAAGTTCCTGGGTTTAGAAGAATCCTGACAGACAATTCCACCTTACCCAAAACCCAGAAAAGTCAGGAAATCCAGCAAGCTGTAGATCAGTTCCTTTCTGGAAACTCAGGAACAGAATGGAAATGTTATCTTCCAGTGGAAGATGTGGTTTTTTAGGCCCAAAGAGCATTGAGGATGCAAGTGAGATATCTCCAATCCCTTCACCCTCAGGTCTGCTTAGTCCTAAAAATCATAACCATAATTCTTACCCCAAAGTTGAAGACTTCATTGTAGCAGTCAGAATATCTTAAGTACCAGGTCACATTGTAACTTTGGGAGGGATCACAAGCTTTCTCATCTCCTTCAACTGAAAAAAACATAATCAACAACAGAAGGAATATGTAAGGCACCCTTCACCTGCCAGGCTTTTCCTTCCAGTCTGAGCCAAGCTACCAAAATTAAATTTATTTTAAACACAAACCTGATAGCAGAACAATTAAAAAAAAACAAAAACAAAAACATTTTCCTCAAATAATCACAAACTGTTTGGTGAAAGAAAGAAAGAAGCATGTGGAAACAGAATTCCATTATAATGTTACACAATCCTATTAAACAGCTGAAGATCAGTTGGAAGCTTTTTGTCCTCAAGACAATCAAAGATATTTCAGCAACTACAAATATCAAACCAGGAGAGAACCAACAGTGACTCCCAGTAATTACAGTACACAAAACAATTTCCCTTTCCAAGATGTGGGGGACAGAGCAGGTAGAGAGAGCTATGAACAGGTTAACACAGTGCACATCACGTGTACATGTAATTTAAATATAACAATACCATCACCAAGAAAATAAAAAGCTAAGATTTCACAAGTTAACATCCACCTTCCTACTCTCAAAAGCCAAATGAGCCACCTCTACATTAGCTCACTCTGTCAAAGCTGCAAGGCCACCCAAAACAGCAAAAAGACAACTCTCCACTTTGATTTATTAGAGAACACCATGCATGAAAAGTGAACACAAGACTTCCCCCACAATCCTCCTCAGGAAAGATTACTTGATCTTTGTGTTTCAAATCTCATTCTAAAACTAAAGCCTGATGAGGGGAATTTGACATAAATAAGGTAAGCCTCACCCGTGAACAAACTGAGCAGTAACTATTCACTCCTGTGAGAGCCATTCAATGATAACTTTTGGGGTTTGCTAGCCAAGAGATGTTTTGAGTCAACAGCATGTTTCTGGTGGCTAGGATGTCCCCACACATTTACAAGCAACCTTCATCTCAGACTAGACACCCACAGATTTGTTACACTTACACACCTTTTAATGAATGTTTTCATATCAACCACTGTCAGCAAGAAAAATGCAATTAGAAAAAAGACCCTGCCATGGAGTCCTAACTGACTAATCCCACTTTAAACCACATGACCACTAAAACAAGTATATGTAGAGCTAATAACTCAACAACTGAGTCTCTAATACCAAAGATTAAAAAAAAAAAAAAAAACAAACAAACTTGGGACACAATGCATGAAAAATAAGAGTTTCCTTATGACACCTTCTGGAAAGCATGAAAACAAGGCACACATTCTCCATGTAGCCCTAGATACTGGTAGTAGGCACAACAAAGAAGCTAAGAGGCAACACAAGCACTGCAGTGACAGTAGATGGTAAATTCTTAGAAGACAGAGGGTCTTCTGAGAGAAGAAATTGAGAAACCGTCTGTGAGATGAAATTAAGAAATTAATCACATCAAAAACATCTTAAAAAAGTGCTACAAAAAAATAGGAGGGATGCAAAAATACCTTTTAAATAGCTTTTTACCTATTAAAAATAAATAAAATTACTGAAACTCTATGTTCAGCAGTAACATCAAACAGAGATAAAGCATGTCACAACAAGAAGAATCCACCAATATCTGCAAATATCAAAATTATAGAAACCTTGAAAATTAAGTACTCTAAAAGACAGAAAAGGTATCCATGGTATTTACTGAATTTGGCAACATGGAAATCTTAAGTCCCTCAGCTTTCAAACAAAACCAGCAACAAAACAAGAGCAACTCAAGAGCAATCATGTTTGGCAAGAGGGGCCATATTGTCCACACAAACATCACAGAGCTGATGGAAGAGGCAACACACAGCAAACTAAAGAAGAGAGACCAGTTTCCAGACAGACATGGGCAGAAAATGAACAGCATGTAAAGCTGAAGCTTCCAGGTGTCAGATGCTGTTTAAGCATCACCTAGGCTGAGAAACTGAAATTAATTTCCCAGCCTTTGTTCCTTCCTCTTTCAGTGATTCATTATCTAAATTCATGTATATCTTAATCACACTAGTATGCAAAACGGGTATCTTCACTAACCAATTTTAAGGCCTAATGCCTGTTTAAAGGCTGACAGCACAGTGCAGCTCAGTCCACATCAGGAGCCAGGGGACTGAATTCTTACTGCCAGATCTGCCACAAACCTGTCTTGTAACAAACAAATTTTATTTTCTCCATCCCTTAGTTCCCTTCTCTTGGTTACTGAGCTGCACACCTCATGATTAGACTTACCACACACCTCACTGTGAGACCCACATCTTAGATGTCACAGCAATATGAATACACAACTTCTGTTAAACTTTAGACAAGAAAGCCTGACACCTAGCAAAGCTCCAAATGCCCTTTCAAACTCCCCCTCCTCTCCCACAGGCATCACTCTTCTACATTTTGATCCTGCAGCTACACACTTGCAATTGTCTCGCTGCAGGATGCAAAACTCGGCATTTGAGCCACTCTTGGCAAGTGGGGAAACTCTGACACTAGCCTCCAATTTTAGATTCACATGGGATTAAGAGAAGCACTTTAACAAACTGCCTTTGAAACACTGTCCCAAGAAGGGCAGGTATCTGGAATCAAACTTGCAAAGCAATAAGTACTAAACATCATAGAGCACAGCAATATGTGACTTCACCAAGAAGCCTCAGCTTATCTTCATGACACCTTAATTCTCTCTAGTTAAAAAAAGGACACAAACACTGCAACAACTAGCAATATGCGACTTCAAGAAGCATCAGCTTATCTTCATGACACCTTAATTCTCTCTAGTTAAAAAAAGGACACAAACACTGCAACAACTAACTCTTGAAGTGACAAAGGCACAGATCCCACTAATTGTCTCTAAACTGACCTTTTTTTCCTCATTTCACATGATTGCAGAACAGCATTCACAGGCACTGTACCTGTATAACTGCCCAACTAGCAGCTGGAGATCGAACAGCTTTCCCCACTCCATGGTAAGAACTGATGAAAACAAGCCCTTAAAGAGCATCAGAAAGATTTCAAGCCTTTCTAAATCAGCTAGTCACTTCCACAAGTCACCTAGATCATCTCACTGCCATCTAAACACTCTCCAGCATTCTCTGATTCTCATGTTCACAGACAAGATGGTACTTTACAGAACTCTCCTTTGAGCTGTAACCTCCACAACTCACAGTCCTGAGAGACCACCAGTCAGCTGGAGGAATTTACTGCATCTTAAATAGGGGAAGCACACCTCACAGCAGGGCTCAGCACATCCCATGTCTGTCTGCTCACCATCTGAAACACAGTGGTGCTGCCGTTGCCCACCTAGCTTCTCCAGAGAGCCTTAACAGAATCACTGTTTCTGCTACAGCCAAAAGAGATAACAATTGGGAAGCTTCAAGGCTGTTAACGCACCCAACCGTATCAGAGCTATGGCTTTCATCCAGCACCACATTAGCTGTCACTGCAACCAGCACGGTTAAATGCTCCACAGTGTTTCGAGTCCCAAATTTTAAAGGCAGGGTGGGAGAGTGCCAAACAGCAGAAAGATCAGGTTAATAATCCCTTGGAGCCACTTACATTTTAGGAAAATGGTGGTGTTACTGAAAAGAATCTTCCCAAAGTTAAACTTCTTCCCCTGCAAAGGTACAAAAAAAGGAAGATATTAGTGGGCTTAATGTCACTGAGCTTAAGTAAACATCACCTTCCACTCTGACAATATAGCAATGAAAGCACCGAATCAGGAGCCAGCCTTACTGGATTTTCCAGTCATGCTTCACCACCCCTGCAACCTGCTCTTAAAGGCGGCTTGTGAGGCTTGGGGCTTTTCTGTTCTGCAAAACTGAATAAATTTCATGGGGATCTGCCGAAATGATTAGCATATCCTTGCTGATGAGAAGATCTAAATTATCCAATCAAAAAAAAATAAAAGAAACATTTCCAGTTCTAAGACAGGAGTGTTCACCGTAATCCTTCACTTCTGGCCCTGCAGCCCCAGAGCCCCGCAGGACGCGCACATCACCCGCTCCCGCAGCCTGCAGAGGCGAGGGTCTGACGCGAGGCACAGCGGCGCTTCCCCACGCACCTTCCAAGGCGCACGGCGCGACAGCGGGGCTGGAAACCCCTCCGCCTCCCCAGGGGCCCGCTGCTCTCGGTTCAGCCTTCCGGGGGCCCAGCTTCGCCGACGCTGGCCC